TGCAGTAATGGCGGCTTTGTACCCTTCCGGGCTGGGTCGAGCCACGGGAGCCTCAGTAGTTCCTGTGTCCTGAGTCTGATATCCTGCTGCGCCGCGCCTGTCAGTTGTTAAGTTTTTGTGATGACTCCTCGCGTGGGCAAGAGCAGCGCTCGCTGATGCATGGCTGAGGTTGAGCGAGCCCGTCGCTTTCGGATCTCCTGTCATATGAAAATTATGGCGTCAGTCACAATGTTTCGACATCGTAAGATCATCTCCGGAGATCCGGCGGTTATTCCTCACTGAATAGTTGCGATTCAAAGGTAGCAGGTTCCCGAACGGACAGTCTACGCTCGGGGTGCGTCACATAGAGTGCAGCTGTCGCAGCTGCCGAATAATCGAGTCAGCGAAATAATTCTTCGTCAAACCAAAGTGCAAGATATTCATCCAGGACTTACCTTGATCAGCTAGCCGGGCAGACCGGGAACGCTGGATGGAGACGCTATGGACTCCAGGATGAGACTCAGTAGTAGCCATGATAAGATAAGGTCTGCGCCGTGATGCGGGGAGTATGAAAGGACGGCGGATACAGGCATTCCCGATGGAAGCAAGTCAAAGGAAAAGAAAGAAGGAAGGGAAGAAGATGATGAAGGAAAAAAAGGTTACGTGTCGGTGGCAGAGATAATAGTGGTGACGACCAGTGGGATGAACCAGCCGGAAGCTTGAGGGAAGAGAGTCGAGAAACGAGTGTGTCGTCTGTGACGTCGGTTGCAGAGGGCAAATCCACGGATGTTACCTCTCAACGATCATCGATCAAGCATTGAGCTTCGTCGATATCTCACCTCGCTGATGTCATCATGTCGACGTGATAATTGAATTTGATTTACGATGAAGTCTAGAAAGTGAAGAAGAACAGAGCTCAGAGTGTTACACTCTCTTCAGCCCAGGCTGGTTGTGTCGATGCTGTCTCTCGCGGTCGAGTCATGATGCTTCCATCCCCACGTTCACATTCCAGTCTCGGCTCTCTTCCGTTTTCAACCATGACGAAGATCTCACTAGTGTTTTATTATTCTATATCTAGATAACCGTCCCTGCAGATGGATCGTCTCCACTATCTCTCATTTTTGGCGGTTCCCCGACTTAACCAGTCTGATCTACGTCGATGTCACAAGCGAATCCGCTCGATTGAAGCATAGATTCGGATGCACGCCGCTTTTCGTTCCGAGTGGTTATTTTACACATGAACCAGAGGTGATAATAATACTCGTAACAAGGCTTCAGATTGAGAGATTAAGATTAGTGTAGTGCGCGCACATGGCGACTCATTAGGGTGTTATAAAACGACATCGCGCAGGCATTACCCCCGTTCTATCGTAAATCATCCGCCAAGGATTACCAGAGATGCAGCTTCTTCAAAATGTTGTAACGCGTGAAGAATGACCGATTTCGTTTCCCGAAAATATCTGAGTGGTTTAGTTAGCTGCAGATGCAAAAGCTTCGAGTAGCTCGAAAGGAATACTCACACATGGGAATGCTCAAGAGACAGACGCCCACCTGGATGCTGGAGATAGCTAGGAATGCCGGTCTGATACCATTTTTTATGAGCCAGTCATATGCGAAAAATGTCAGAACGAAACTGAAAATGTTCTTGAAGATCAATAAGCACGTGAACGCTTCAACGGCGATTTGACCTGTATCAAACGTCATCAGCAACAGTTTCCGCAGGCTTTGTCGTATGGCAGAAGGCTCCAACTCACGGTGTGCATCGACAATGTACAAGGCGCTCGCGACAGCACCCATGACCATTCCTATGATAACAAAAGCAAAGAAGACGTCCGGCACAAGCCATCCATATCGGTCCACGTCCTCTGCCACAATCCCAAACCCGTAGAGACCAGCGCCACTGAAGATCAGTTGGAAGATAACTAGCAAAATACGGAACTCGGGTTCGTATTTGCCTTTGTTGAGTTTTATCATGACCTTGTTCAACGAATCGGACAGGATGCCAGACAGAATCAGGCCTAAGATAGAGCCGATGAAGGCGCCTGTGTAGAGATATCCTGTCTGAACCTCATTGAACCATAGAGGAGGGCCCAGGAAGATGGCAGCCAGGACAACACCGATGAAGACAGTCCAACCAATGATAACGCCTTGTATCAAGCAAGCCTGTGGGAGTCAGAAATAGCCGTCACATAGGAATTGTGGGAGAGGAAAGGACTTACCCAGAGGATGCCAGGATGGAAGAATAGGGGAAATGGTCTCAAAAGCAGTTTGAAAAAGGCCTCGTCTGTCTTCCGTCCATTGAATAGCTTCAGAGTCGCCCAGTACGTGGCCTTGCGAGGAATCGTAGGTTCCTGACCGGCGCCATTTTCTCCTCGAGAGGATTCTCCTTGCGACTTCTCGTTGGTCCCAGGTACGGATTGCTTCTGCTCTCCAGAGATCTGGCTTACTTCAGAAGTCGCATATCCGGCGGGCTGCAGTTGCGTATGTGACTGGCTTCCATCAAGGCGGTCGTCGACATGCTCAAAGTCTGTGTTGAAATGGTCGGCGCGTCTGAAGGCCGTCTCGGGTATTAGGAAGAATGTCATGGGCAGACAAGCAGCGGTAAAGATTGCCACTAGGTAAAACGTCCATTGCCAACTAAGCGAATGTGTGATCTTGCCAGCCAAAACCGGTGTGAGGAAGGCGGCGCCGAAGACGGCAACATTCGACAAGGCCATCCGCTTGCCCCGTTCCTGGCGTAATGGTCAGTCGAAATCCGTGAGGTAGCGCAGATGGAACCTACATGGACAAAGAATAGATCACCAACACAGGCATTCGTCAAAGCTTCGAATGGAGCCAATGCGACTCCTTGTAAGATCCGGGCCCAGAGAAGGCTCTGATAATTCTGGCCACTTCCCCCAGCCCATGCGCAGCTCACGACCATCAGAATATTTCCAAGGATGAAAAGATGCCGCTTGCCCCAGACTCGTGCAGTCGGTACGATTAGCACACCAGCGACACCTACACCACAGAGGTGGTAGCCAGTGAGGAGAGCAACGGACGTGAAACTCTTCCCATAGTGAAGAGCAATGGTCACAGTGTTGGCGGCCATGAGCGAGCTAGTTGTTGCACAGAGTACTGAAACGAAGCAAAGCGCGAATAGGATTACATCGCGCCACCATAACGGCCAATTCTAGAGGCGGTTCTCAGTATCGAGCTTTGCCAATCGTACCTTTTTCTACCTACCAGAGGATCGTTCGGGTCATCGCTTGGCTGTGGCACTAGAAGTATAGGAACGTCGCCTGAGCGATCGTACTTGAGGCGCGAATCGAGAGCGGTCTGATCATTCCTTTCATCTTCGAGGATATAGGATGTACCTAGCCAGAATGTATCAAAAATGGTGGTTCCGATTGTACAAGTTTTTCTGTTAAAGAACTTACCAGGGACATGGTCGAGTACCTTGTCCTCGAGCACACCTAGACCCATATTGATAGGGAGTGAAGGGCGGAAGGTATGTCAATCAAAGCAATGCTCACTGGCTTGTGCCGGGGCGAACAGATAGGTAGATAATATTACGGGGTAACACGGGCTTGTGCCTGGCTAGAGGCTTGAATCAGCGACCAACAGTCGTTGTGATACACATTATAATAATGACTGAAATTGTAGAATAAGGAGTTCGGTTGATAAATGCGAAATTTCTGCCGAGGCGAGAGTAAAAGCCTAAGCTGTCTATCTTCGAATTGTGAGTGTGACGCGTTCTATGTCACAGGAGAAGGGTGCATTTATGAATTATTGATCCTTCAAAGAGCAGAACGCCAGGGAATCCTCTGCAGTGTCGATCAGCAGGAGCATGAGGGACTGAATTCGTGGTCGCGGCTGTTTGCAGAGCTCCCGCAGGATCACCTGATACGGAATTTCTTTGCCCAGCCATAGTGACCAACGCAAAACTATAGTATTGCCTGCTTGTTTTTGCTGTACCTTATGGTTATTTCTTAATATTGACATTTGATACCCGATGTCAAGGTCTCTACGCCACTGTACTCTATATATCCTTCCCAGGTGTCATGGATCAATGCCTGTTGGGAGGTGGCGCAGCATTCCTCCGCAGGAAGCCAAAATACTCCATACCTACTGGACAGATGGTCATTGTAAGGTACGCTGTGATAGCAGTATCTACATGTTTTACGGAGTACATGTTGAGTGAAGACCAAATATGGACTCTTTGCAGCTATGAGTTCAGCGATGACCATCAGAAAGGGTACTGTGGACTGGTAAAGCACAGAAATGAGCCTAAAGACATTTGACTTGAGCCTTGACAGAACGATGATAGCAATTCATTGCATCCTTTGCCAAGAGTTGCTATAAGGATCCGGTAGTCTAATGAATGTTTCCTCGTCAGATGGTCAAGGACGGGGCAAAAGTGTCTGAGACTGGTGACGAATTTTGGGTGGAGCAACTGGGAATTCCGGGAGAGGGAGAAACCTCGGGCTTGGTGGCTCCAAGGGGGTCCAGGAGTCCAGGCTAGTGATTTCACGGCTCTTTTGATAGGCTAATGGCTAAGTAGAATCTGGGGATGGGCCAGATTTCTGAGCAAAATAGGCGGCCGGTGGAGTCGAGCTGAGGGACTAGTTCATGATGAACCATGACGAGCCAGGGTCCCAGTGCAGGAGGATGGGGTCATAACATTGGAACACTCAGGGAGTATCTCCTAAGTGACGGTCCTTTACAGGATTGTGAGTGTGTTTCCCATCATAGGCTGATATTAGCAATTAATCTGCCATTAAATTCTGTCACAAAGAGCTGGCCCGTGTCTCATACAAGTAAGGTACTGTAGAAACCATGTTCCAGGCGCCATAAATGATCCTTCGGAGAAACAGTAAAAAGTATGCGAAAGCTACATATTCACTTCGGCCTATGAACTTAATTCTTGCAGATTAACAACCATAAGGATAACTCAGATAGGCATGAATAACAACAAGGAGTCTAGACTCTAGAACAGTTATTATCTAGTAGTTCAATTCGACTATGAAGGCTTAATCAATCGCACCTGAAGTGGGGAAAGCAATGGAAAACTGGAAGGAACTAGAAAATAAACTAACCATCAGAGAGGTACCACACATCCCTTCCCAGGCATGATTATTATTCGCTGCATACTAGATAGGCTGCACATTCAGACATTCATCAGCTTACTGCGAGATCGTCGCGCCAGTTACCAACCACTCCCATCTTGTTTCTACTCTTTCTGATCTTGTCCCCTCACCCACGCTTCTACACCTTCATCTTCTCCCAACAGATCTTACTCTAAGCCCGTCTTGAGGTACATGATCCTACGTTCCTAGCACGATTTATTTCAATCGAGCATCTTAGCCAAATCCTCATAATGAAGCTTTACTCTGTCTCCCTTGCTCTTGCGGCTTGCCTGAGCATGGCAGCTGCCCAGGGCCTTGACGGTCTGCCGGATTGTGCTGTAAGTGTCGCCTCTCATTTATGTGTTCACCATACTACAAAGTTGTTTCTTCTGTGCGGAGTGATTGGTACCTATTACTGATGACCTGAGATAGAAATCATGCGCTACGAATTCCATCCCAGCCAACTGCGGTCTTGACGTGAAGTGCATCTGCACCGACTCGTCCTTCATTTCGGGTATTTCATGCTGCGTTCTCCAATCTTGCGCTCCGGACCAGCAGCAGGGTAAGTTCTCGTCCTTGCTGTTCTCGGCACTCTGCACGCCTACACATGACCCTTGATTCTCCTCCTCTACATTAGACTACAGAAGACGCTCACCCATTCTTTCCCACAGCCGCCGTCGAGTTTGCGAACCGTATATGCAGAACCGCCGGTGTGACCAACATGCCTCAGTCTCCCAGCTGCTCAAACACAACTCAATCTGCCACTGGCACGTCCTCTGGATCCTCTACAAGCACATCTAGTTCTTCCACCGAGTCCAACGCCTCCCAGACCGCTGCAACTGCAACCACTTCCACCACAGCCACTTCTACCACTGGCTCCGCGACCTCGTCTGCTACTTCGGCCACCAACACCAGTACCGGGGCTGCCGTTGCTCAGCACAAGGACATTGGTCACATTGCGGCTGTCGGTGCGGCGCTTGCGGCTTTCGGCTTGCTCGCTTAGGGGCCATGGGATTCGCGTCATGGCTGGACTGTTTGTCATTCTTGACGAAATACAAGCACAAGCTGAACGGTTTATGGGAAAAGAAGTGCATATGGCAACAAGTGCTTATATTGTGACCCTATTTCCGCAAAGCTTCAACTTGTCTTGTGACTTTAATAGGATCTTGAGGAGAACTGTTCTGCTTTGAACGCATATGCTAGCTTAATTGTCCGCAAACTGGATTTTCGCTGTAATATGTCATAATTGCTGGGCAATCGAAGAATTCATTGTCATTCTTCAGTATATGGTGCTCTGTAGATTATGTGCAACGCCTGCACCCAATCCGCATCAACCGAACAACGGAATACCACCGTCTATTCTTCTCGTTCCACGAAACGAGCAGCTATTTCCTGGCGCTCTTCGCGGAGAGTGATGAAAATCTACCACGGATCAGCACAACTCAATGAAGGCTTCCACAACCAGCGTGGCCAGCAGGCGGACAAGACTTACCCAAAGCCAGAACATCATCTCCATAAACCCATACGTAAATACAACCCTATTCTTCAGCTGGTCCAAGCCAGACGTCACCTCTACCGACCCATACCCGCCTGTCTTGCGCGCGGCACCCGCACCCACACCCCAAGCATCCGGTTTACTCTGGTAGATGAAGAACGAGACAGCAAAGAACAGACAGAACCGGGCTGCGGAAAGCAAAGTCCAGATCTCCGAGTAGAGGGCGGCGAGGCGCGCCGCGAAGGGGTTTTGCATCGCGCTGGACATGGGTGTGGCAGATTGGCTTCTGGCCGCTTGGGCCATGGCGACGAGCTCGTTGACCCGGGGGATTTTAGCGACGATGATCAGGTCGACGAGGGCGTCGGCGATGAGGAGGATGCCGCATAGCGCGAAGGGGGATTGAGGACGGGAAAAAGACGGGGCTGCATCCTGTTGGTGTCGTTGCAACAACTCTGTCAGTTTGAAGTTTGATGACGCAGGATTTCGGCAGAAATGAGATTAGAGAATCTTCGGACGTACGATCTGTAGGACTTCTCCTATCATGAAGACAATGTCTGATTCGGTGACTGTGCTTGGTGATCTGGTGAGGTACACGGCCAGAACAAACAGAAATAGGGCGTGTGCCTGAATGAGCGTCTTGGAGGAGAGAAGAGCCATGTTAGAGGAGAATAGAGAAGATGAAATAATAGTATTCTATATACAAGTCACAGCAGTCGCTGCGAATAAATCTGAGCTCAATCGATGCTATTGTACATGTTCTTGACTTTGTATCTGCCGCTACTTTTTTTCCGATGTCTGGATCCATCTTGTGGGGTTGCCGCTGTTAAGTCCGGAGGCCGCCCGCAAAATAATAATGATAACAATGAAGCGCAATTCAGAGCCACGGACTCAAGGAACTCACCCCTTTGCTAGTTCTTATTTTTACCTTGATCTGACTAGCAAGCAGATGCGATATTTGTCAAGTCCGGCAACATGACCGAGGCTGTCTTTAACAAGGAACGTCACATCAAATACTACCTCCGTTGTCTCAAGACATTCCTCCCCCACCAGTACACCTCCAATGACTCCAATCGCATGCTCCTCGCTTTCTTCACAATCTCCGGACTGGACATTCTAGGCGTCCTCGACAGCAAGATCACCGCCGAAGAACGAAAAGGTTACATAGACTGGCTCTATCACTGCCAGGTTCCATCGGGGGGTTTCCGCGGGTTCACGGGGACAGATTTTGGGATTGACAAGCGCACTTCGGAGAACGAAGCTTGGGACCCGGCGAATGTCCCGGCCACATTCTTTGCGCTGGTATTGCTGCTCATCCTGGGCGATGACCTGTCGAGGGTGAAGCGGACCGAATGTCTTCAATGGTTGCCCAAACTTCAACGTGAGGATGGCAGTTTCGGAGAAGTGCTCGGCCCCCGGGGAGAGGTCAAAGGTGGTCGCGACTTGCGGTTCTGCTGCTGCGCAGCTGGGACGCGATATATTCTTCGAGGGAGGAGCGGGAGAGGCCTTGAGGGTGTGAGCGATATTGATGTGGGCCGGCTCGTGGAATTCATTCAGGCTTGCCAGGTCCGAAGACTCTTAGGTATTGGGTTATGGCTGCGAATGCTGATACTTGGATCTGATAGACATATGACGGGGGAATGTCGGAAGCGCCCTTTCGTGAATCCCACTGTACGTGCAATGGACTCTGCCATAAGCGACTGATTCTGACTAGAAACAGCTGGCCTGACCTATTGTGCCATTGGCGCTCTAACTTTCCTTTGCCGTCTTTCGAAGGAGCAGAGACACACGGCGCTCCTTTCTCCCGGGAGTCGGGAATTCGAGCATTTGCTCAAATGGCTCGTCTCCAGACAGACGTCTGATTTGGGTGAAGAGGAGTCGGACGAGGAAGATGATGGCTCACCTGACCAGAGTGATAGTTTACATCAAGCTACAAGCAACCTCGCTCTCGATGAGAAGATTGCCGTGCTTCCTAACCTACCCCCGCCCGCAGAGGAATCTCTGCTTTGGGCAGGCTTCAATGGGCGATGCAACAAATATGCGGATACATGTTACTCGCTTTGGAACGCGGGTACGCTCGTAGTAAGTATTTACCGATCTTGCGATGTTGAACACTACTAACAGGACTAGATGATGAACCGACTATCTCTTATCGACCAGCAGCGCAACCGGCGATATCTGCTCGAGAAGACACAGCACATTATCGGCGGGTTTGGGAAAGGCATTGGTGAGCCTCCAGGTAAGATCCCAGAGCTCCTACAACATAGAAGAAGAGGCTTGTTCTAACGGTCAATGCAAGATCTTCTACACTCGTTTGCTGGGCTGGTATCTCTCGCATTCCAAGGAGAAGAGGGCCTGAGCAGCGTAGATCCTGCATTATGCGCCAGCCACCGGGCAGCTCAACACATGGAAAGTCTTCCCTGGTGGCAAGAGACGAATTGATGCTCTAATTATGGTGGATGGATATCCAAAATAGCACGCTGTTCGTATTATCCAAGGTCGTAGGCTGGGCTGGAAGTCTTGCCAATTTATACCCCAGGTCGTTGATTTTCATTTTATGACACTTCGGAGCAATACGCAGCTCCCAGCTATCTTTGAACGGGAATGGGTTTAGATTACTCGCGCAATAAATTCTAATCATTCGTTAGTTCAAAACGCAAGCGAGCACTTCCCGTGTCTGGAGGCTAGGAAGTGTTCTAGAAAACGGGGAGTGGCCCATGTCACCACCCACCGTTAGGACCAGCCGCAAGCCGTCGTCATCGTAATTTATCTATCTGCCATTCAGGGGCTCGTTTATCGACCACACGAGTAGCACTGAGAGCCACTTACTCAGTGATGATATCAGTATAGTCAGGGAATCACATTCTATACCCGATACGTAGACGCAAAGCGAAGATCTGACCGCTCCTGTAAGGAACCCTCGTGTATGAGGCCCTCAAACTCGTCGGGTGATCGATATTGGGTTGTTGATGACGATGATGTCGATGCCGAAAGACTCGAAAGTCGAAACGGCGCACGTTCCCACCTGCAAATGAGCATCATGGTCTGTTTGTTGTTTTACTGGCTGTCAGCGGTTCCATAATGAATGAATAATAATGTATTGTCCGACAATTGACTTGTGTGAAATTGTGCGTACAGCCCGAATGCAGTAGACAATTGGTACTCTGTAGATTTCTTAAAAAGCAACTAACCAGTTTAATAATAACACTTCCCCTGGTTCATCGTCATCGTCATAACAATAAGGTACATACCTCCAGATGGCCGTCTGTTGGCTAGATAATCAGAAGGATAAGAAAATCCCAATAATAATAGTCAAGTCATTGTCCAAGCCGATGCAAAATCAGTTTGTCCGTTGACACTCGAACCAAACCAACTTCTTGTTTCATCATATTATTCTCCGCCAGATCCAATAGATATAGGTATGCATTGCTAGCTTCTTCTCCTTTCTTGACAATTTTCCCCTCTTGTCGTCTTTATACAGAATCTCTTTCTCTTTCCATCTTCATAATATATTCCGGTCTGTTTACTAATAATAATATCTGAGCTTCTCATCTTCAAGTCATTTCCGACCTCCTTCCGGTCCTTTTCCACAAACAGCTGCCGTTCCGTCCATCCTCCTCCACCTCCACGTCGTCCTGTTGGGCCCGAAATTTCCACTCCGGACAAGGGAATTTTTTGCGTCCTTCTTACATCCCTCTGCGAGGCGTCTCTCCTACTTTGCGGAGACTTGAACGAGCTATAGCCGATTCCCTAACTGCTAAACAATCTCGATTCCATCTTACCCGGTCCGTCCGTCTATGCGATCCGCGATCTGCCAGCCATCTTGCGCGCCGCCGTCCATCGCATTAAACTCCTTGTTTTGCTACACTTCTTCGTCCTTCGTCTCCATTCGTCCCCCTGATCGCGATACTCCTCTCCTGTCCCGCCTCGGGTTGAATGTCAGTCCCAAGCGGTCATCGTCGTGATCATCTTTCGTCGTCAGAACGGCCCATCGTGTGCATACATCATCTCCGCGGGATTCTCCAAATTAGGCGGAGACGATCTCATAACACATGCCGTCGGCCAGGACAAGAGCGGAGGTTCAATCCCAGAAACAAAAGGAAAAGGTTCGTCTTCCGGCATTGATATTTGGACGCATCATAAAACGGTCAACCTAAGGCTCGCATCTTCTACGAGACCCCACATTCAAACTTTATTGGGCCAAACCATCACAACTAGCTGTAGTTATTGCAAACCCTGTCATTATGCGGTCTCTCATGTGGCCTGATGTTCCCCCTCTCAATCCCTGGACCTTTGATATGCTGCTTACTTTTGCCTTATGCTGCTGTTGAAAATGAAAGTTGCTGACTATTGGCGATTGCGTCTCGCCGCTATAGCTCGCCAAATCATACCATGAGTTATTGGAGTAAGCTGCCCTTTTATTCCCCAAGCTCTGCCAAAGCCCTATGATACTAATCAACTATCTGTTTCCAGGGAGTTCTCGTCAAAGGACCTTCGAACCGTTGGTAACTACACCCTTGGAAGGCTGATTGGGAAAGGCTCCTTTGGCAAGGTCTATCTTGCATCTCACAAGCTCACCAATGGTTCCAAGGTATAATTCACCCCGCGGCAGACATAAGAGGCAGAGCTATTCTAACACATCGTCCATAGGTTGTGCTCAAGTCCTCCCCCAGGGAGGATACGAACCTGCCACGCGAGATTCATCACCATCGCCAGTTCCTCCACCCGCATATCGCCCGTCTCTATGAGGTTATAGTGACAGAAAAGCTGGTCTGGCTTGTACTCGAATACTGCCCAGGTAGGGAACGTTGCACCGTGATGCAATCGGCTACAGCTGACAAGACGATGCGCAGGTGATGAACTCTACAACTACCTTCTCCGCCATGGTCCCCTCCCAGTCGACAAAGTCAAGAGGATATTCACACAGCTAGTGGGCGCTGTCGCATACGTACATAGCAGATCATGCGTTCATCGCGATCTCAAGTTGGAGAACATCCTCCTGGATAAGCACGAGAACGTCAAGCTCTGCGATTTCGGCTTTACGCGAGAGTATGAGGGCAAGGCAAGCTACCTACAGACTTTCTGTGGTACGATATGTTATAGTGCACCTGAGATGCTGAAGGGCGAGAAGTATGCCGGAGAGAAGGTGGACGTATGGAGTCTAGGCATCATCCTCTATGCGCTTCTCGCCGGGGAGCTGCCGTTCGACGAAGACGACGATCAAGTCACCAAGAAGAGGATTCTCACCGAAGAGCCAGTCTTCAGTGATAAATTCCCCGACGATGCCAAGGCCCTCATCAACTTACTCCTGTCCAAGCGACCTCTCATCCGACCGAGCTTAGCCGATATACTGGCTCATCCATTTCTCGCAGAGCATGCTCCGGAGCAGCAAGCAATTCTTAAGATCGCTCGTCCAGCGCCTTTCTCGACACCCTTGGAAAGGACTACCCTCCAGCGGATGAAAAGTGCTGGAGTTAATGTCGACGAGGTCATGGAGAGCGTCCTTGCTCAACGATGCGACCCGCTCGCCGGCTGGTGGGCTCTCCTAATCGAGAAAGAGCAGCGGAAAGAGGTCCGGAGGGAGCGCAAACGACGAGAACGAGAGGCGGAAGCAAAGAACTTGCGACGACTCAGCGCCGCTAGTAGCCGTTTGGAGAAAATCTCTGCTGCACTCCTTGAAGTGGATGAGGAAGGACATGCGTCTCCGGGCACATTGCTTCAGGAACGAGGACGAAGGGACCGGCGCAGTCTTCCCTCTCAACTCGCTGTCCCGGAGTTGCCAATGCTCCCTGAGCCAGTTCCCCTGCAGCCTTTGGATTTGACCATCCCAGCGCCGCCGCCGCCTCCTCCACCTATTGACAAGGACTCGGTCCGATCTGGCAGCTCAACAAGACGTCGGCCGGTACCCCCTCCAAAGGATAATACGCGACGACCGAGCACACTGCATGCTAGTGCGTCGCAGCCGGAGTTGGCACAGCACAATGGTATCCTCAGGCGCCGAACTGGACGCCGTCAATACCCGATCATCAGTCAGCTCGCATCGCTGAAACATTGGTTAATGGAATCTGCGAAGAGGACAAAGTCTCCTCATCCTAAATCAGCGGGGGGAGGGCATCGCAAGTTCTTCTCCGACAGACTGAGCCCAGGGAAAGGTCAAGAAGCTGGGAAGAAACCAGCGCCAACCTCACCAAATATCCCTCCTGCTGGCGATCTGGCGACTCCAACGCAAATCAAGCGCGCATCCAACGCCAGTAGCCTTGCGCCAAGCAGCGCCTCCTACTCCAACAATCGTCATTCATATCCGCGACAACCCCGGCCGCTGAGTACTGGCTATCCGAGCCATCGGAATTCTCTATCTCCGTCTCCGATCACGCCAAGGGGCTCGTACAGACGATCCTCCACGGGGCTACGAGGTCGCAAATCCACCTCGTCTTCTGTATCATCCATACGAAGCATTCATCATACGCACACTCACTCCAAGGCGTCTTCTGTTTCCTCAAACAGCATTGGATCCGCATCGACCCCGACGGCCCGACCTGCGAGATCCCCACACTCTTCGATCAAAGTTCTTCCTACGACACCCAGTGCCTCTGCACGCTTTCCCAGTAACATTCGCCTCGTACGGAATGCTAGCAATGGATTCCGTGATACCCACGATGCGAACGGAAGGATGCAATCTGTTTTCAACGAAGCAGCGCCCGCACCGTTACTCTACTCGCCCTCGAGCAGCCTTGTGTTTGCCAGGCGCAAAAAATCTGCCTTCAGAGGTCCTATGTTACACACAGCGAATCTCATGGCCTCTGGTGGCATGGCTGCAACGGAATTCCCCCACGACAATGCTGCAATGGATTCGGCCCACGGTGCAAGCAAGGCTCGGGCTGCAACGCGGAAAAGTCAAATTATCGAAGAAGAGGAGGATATGGCAGAGGAGGATATTGAGGAAGTAGAGACTTTTTCGGGTCCAGATGAGGATCCAGGCTCGCCAGTGGACGCTATCATCGGGCCGGAGGAAGAGAGTAAGCCGTTTGACTGTTCAAGTAATTCAGCGGCCGACTGTCAAAAACCATCGCTCGCCCCTGCGCCGGATATCGACGCGAGTCCACTTCGGCCCCTCGCTCTTCCTCCCTGAAAGTATCAAAAGCAGGCACAGGAGATGCGCCAGCTTCGCGCGACGGGGACAGCAAGACCGTTGTTGTCACCTCCACAAACGCTGTGGCTCCCTAGGATTCATCTTGTGTCGGCACATCGAATTGGACAGACGAACAAGTTCCATGTCAGGTGACCAATGACCTCTCATAGAATCATTTATTTGTTTTGCACTAGCCTTTATACCCCTTTTGCGGCAATGTGGCATCGGCTTTCTTGAATACCTGTATTACTTTGGATTTGGTGGAGATACGAACGGTATACGCTTTTCATCATCTGCCACGACTTCATTCATTTTTGTTCGTTTCCTTTCCTTCACTTCATCCGGTCTCTCTCCCGATGCAATCTCTTCCCTCTGTACCTGCTGATATCTTCTTCTGCCTTTCATTTCCTCCGACCATATTCCCTCTATGGAGATACCCTCAGTTTTGACTCATTTTCGTTTTTTCTCTGTCTGCTCGGGCTGGTACCCGATTGAGCACGGAGTATGATATTTAGCGCACAGCGCACTCATTCCCCTGTTGTCTAGACGTCGACAGTTCACATTCAAGCTTTTTGCTTCTGTTTGTTTGACTTCGTCATATACATATGTTCATATATAGATAGAGTAGATTTCGTCAAAACTTGTTACGCAATAGACATACACCGGCCGTTAATGTTTATTGGAACAATTCAATTCGCATTAGGTATAGATCATAAGGCATCGTTATATTCATCGGAAATACAGATATACCGTCAATTTGCCATCATCAATGCTCAACCTGGACGGATACCTCTGCCGGCTTCTCCATCCCCCGAGCCTCGACGTCCTTCATCACGCCAGCTCCATCACCCTCGATCAATCCGATCTGGCTGTCGCCGACCTTGTCCACCGTATCGCGGTACGCAGGCACAAAGTTGACGGCGACGGCATACGTCCACGCAGCGACCATGAACATCGTGGGGACAATCATGGCGAAGCCCGTGCTGTTGTGCATATCGGCCACATGGCCCAGGAGGGGCGGCACGACGGCACCACCGCAGACGCCGCCGACGATGAAGCCAGACCCGCGCTTGTAGTGCCGGCCCAGACCGCGGATGCCCAGTGCGACGATGGTGGGGAAGCAAACAGACTCAAAAAACAGGGTGACGAAAAGCATGGCTGTTGGAATCATCATCAATCAGAATCATATCATTCCGAAAGTGAAGGGAAGGGGAGGGAAGGGAGCGCATACCCATTCCATTCTGCTCCCTTTGGGTGATGGACGCAGCGAGGAACGCCACCACGCCCGAAAGATATACAAGAAAGACCCAGCGCGCACGCATGTATTTCATGAGCAAGGCACCGGAGAAGCGGCCGACGGTGAAGGCGCCCTGTGCGCCGGCGAGGTACTTGGAACCCGTGGCGCTCGAGGTGCCGGGCCAGGTTTCGACGGCGTAGTTGATGAAGTAGCCTGCGATGCCGACTGTTGTGTGTGTTAGACGGAGCGGTATGCTATATACAAAAAAAAAAATTGACGCACCTTGGGCACCGGTGTATGTAAACTGAGCCAGGGCGGCATGGAACAGCTTATATTGTTTCCAGAGTGGCTTTTCTTGCTCGTCGACGTGGGTCTCAGCGACCTGGAAGGCCATGTCCTCATCGGTGACTTCGGGGATGTTGGATAGGTAGAAGACCCCAGCAAGAAGGAAGACGAAGATGCCGATGGCGAGGTAGACCCATTGCACGCTCTTCAAGGCTGCTACATCGTCCTGGGTATCAGTGAAGAAGACGTAGGAGGCCAAGGTTGGAGCGACGCAGGTGCCGATGCCATTGAAAGCCTGGGCAAGGTTGATCCGCAATTCGGCGTACTTTGGCGGTCCACAGACTATCGAGTGCAGATTAGCACAACTAGTTGCCTTCCCCTCTTCCATAATCTCTACTAACCGGTGAGGTACGGATTGGCAGCGGTCTCCAAAGAGCCCAGCCCCGACCCGATGACAAAGGTAGCCGCGCAGAAACCTCCAAAAGACCGATTGAGGCCGGCCGGCCACATGCAGAGCGCTCCAATGCCATACAGGGTCAGTCCGAAGATAAAGACGGCCTTGTATCCGTAGTGACGCAGAATCCAGTTAGCGTAACCCAGCGATGCCAGTGGATATGCCCTGCAACCAGTCAGTTCCACGATGGGTTCGATAATATATACCTGGCATATCATACCCAAAATATGCGGCCTGAAGGCCGGAGGAACGAGTCCGAGTGATGTTAAGTGTATTTTGGAAATGCTTGTTAAGAGTATCTAGCAGTCCATAGGCGAAACCCTTACATATGGAACATGATCAGCATATACTCGTCATATGTCAGTCAGTTCAGACACCGACTCACCCACATAAAGAAGAGAATCGTGACCAGAGCGAGGGGCCACAGACTCTGACGCAAGGTGAGCGTAGCTGCAGAGGTGGTACTCTTATTGTTCACCCGGAGCGCCGAGCGGGATTTGAGAAGCTGAGCGACCCCCATTTCAGCAATTGCGGAGGTTAATGGCTTGATGGTGTCCTGTAAAGGAAATCCTTCATAAAGAAACGCAAGAAGAAAGAGGGGAATGAGGTGAGGGGGAAAAGAGAAACAGTGACCAGGGCCGCCTCGACGAACCAGACCCTTTATGTACTACTACCGCACGCCGTCAGCCGTGCTACCCCCAAAGCGAAGATGATTGCTCCTCTTGGTAGTAGCGGCATTATCAAGGTCACAGTCGCCCGGCAGCCACAGACCACATGGCCTCGTCAACGGCATTCTGTCCTATTCTGCTCCTTTTCCGGTATGAGACTCTCGAAAGGGTCGGCCTATCACGACCTGACGACTTCAAGCAATTCGCCGAAAAAACGGCGGAGATTCCACTCGCCAAGCAGGGAATCAGAGCATCTTGCCCCAGAGGTGAACATGGTCCCGATGGTGCATTCCGTAACAAGTACACCTTCACTTCCTCATCCCCCGGACTTCGGTTTCTCCGCACTCTGGGGAAGGGTCGTCGGAGAGAATCCACCACTAAGCCACGCAGATAACGTGCGAGTGGTCTCCATCCTGAGACTCCTGGAAGGATCGATGATCATTGATTGGACAGGGGCGGCCCAAAATGCCCCCAGGTGTTTTAGGTCGGGGTGACATTCCTCGCAAAGACCGAGGAGCGAGAGACTTCCAGCATCTCTTGGCATTGATACTGTGGGGGTTTGTTTGTCTTTTCCCCGCATTTTGTAGTGGTTGAAATGGTTTTAAGGTTAACTACCGGTGAATTCTCAGGGAGAAGCCAATTGTGAGCTTCCACGGTTCGTACGCACGTTGGTGGCTGAGCTTGCTGAAGTGGTAGAGAGCTTGCATGTTTTCTTTTCCTCCCCAGAAACGTGACGCTGATTCCTCCACATGGACCTGAGGCATCCAGAGGCAACAATCACAAAGCATCAAAGTGTATCTACTCATCACCACACATCAGGGTCAAGTCGTTTCATCATTTCTATACGTTAGGATCATCTAGATTTATACATATATACTTTCAGATGCCCCACGAGAGAAGAAAAAGGGAATGACAGGACTAATTCGCAAAGGCCATTGTCTATATCTAGTCATCAACAGGCCCCTTGGTCGTCACTTCATCGGCCAACGCCTACGCCTTCTTGGGCTTGAATGCCGTCCCATTCTGCTGCTCCCCTGCATTTGCAGGGAGAGTATACAGGCGGCGCTCAGCATATTTAAGTAGCTCGTCAATGGCCCTTCAGAAACAGTTAGCAACAGCCAGACTCCGAATGAGCACGCATGAGGGCAAGACTTACACAACAGGAGCGCTAATCGCCAGAACCGCCTTCCATTCAGTCCAGTTCAACGGCAAAATAGAGAACAATGTCTGCAGGAATGGGATATACAGAATGGCGAAATGGAGGGTCATCGACAGAATAATGGCGTACACCAGCATCATATTGTTCCAAAGAGGGAAGGCGAGGAGAGACTCGCTGGACGAGAGCGCGTTCATGGCGTTCAGCATCTCAATAACCACAAGGATTGAGAGCGACACAGTGGATGCGGACTGCGACATCTCGTTGGAGAACATTTCACAACCGATCTCGGGGAATTGAGTGGAGCACTTGTGGAAGTGGGACTGCAAATATGAGTTAGACAGACATGAAAGGATCTCACTGAAACGATTGGCTTACCAGCTGCCAGAAGGAGATCTGAGGTCCCTCTGGATAATAAACAAACCACCATACGTAACCAAAAACAGTAGCAGCACCGACGTATGTGCCGATGATCAGGTATCTGAAAAGTAGCCAACCACCCACAAGACGCTCATCGCGCTTTCTGGGCGCGCGTCTCATCACATCATGGTCAGGAGGGTTGAACGACAAGGCGGTAGCAGGCAACCCGTCAGTGACCAGGTTCACCCAGAGGAGCTGGACAGGGATCAATGCTTCGGGCATGCCCAGAGCTGCGGTCAAGAAGATAGACACAACCTCTCCAATGTTTGAGGAGATCAGATAGCGAATAAATTGCTGAGTGTTGCTGTAGATTGATCTGCCCTCTTCAACGGCCACGGTGATTGTCGCAAAATTGTCGTCGGCCAGAACCATATCAGCAGCCAGCTTAGCAACATCCGTTCCTGTACCCATGGCAACACCGATATCGGCCTTCTTCAAGGCAGGAGCATCGTTGACGCCATCGCCAGTCATTGCAACCACATGGCCCAGGGATTGAAGAAGATCGACCAGCTTGGATTTGTGGCTTGGCTCGGTACGTGAGAACAGAGACGCTTTCTTGACGGCCTCGAGCTTTTCACTTTCCGAGAGGCTGTCAAATTCCCTGCCCGTGAAACTTTTTCCCGTAAGGTCCTCATCCTCACCAAAGACACCAATTTGACGGCAAATAGATTCAGCAGTGTTGCGGTTGTCACCGGTGATGACGATCACGCGAATACCAGCGGCACGGCATTTCTTCACAGAGTCGGCGACCTCGGTGCGGGGAGGGTCCAGCATTCCAACAAGGCCAATCAGAGTCATGTTCCTTTCCAACTGAGCATACTCCTCGGTGGTTTGGGCATTGTGCAAGAGGGGGTTATCCGCGATATCGTCGACACTAGCCAGAGCAATGACACGCAAACCACGGTTTCCGTATTCGACAACTTCCCTAGCAAGAAGATCACTGTGCGCTTTGGTGAGAGGGACACGGGGCCCATCAGATCCCAAAAGGACGTAGGAGCAGCGTTCGAGGATCGATTCAGGGGCGCCCTTGACCAGAAGCCTCTGAGCCTTGTCCTTTGTAACGAGAACAGACATACTCTTGCGGTCGCGGGAAAATTCATATGTAGCCAGCAGCGGTAGACGTGATTCGTAGTGGGCACTCGAAACGTGAAGTCTCTCAGAAGCCGGCAGTCTAAACACCTTTTCGTTGGTAGCCAAGTCATCAGTGCCGATCTTTTCAACTAATACCCTCAATGCTCCTTCAGTAGGTTCACCGATGCAGGAGAAAGTGCCACTCTTGGGGTCATGGGCAAGGGTAGCGCCGTTGCAAATTGCCATGACTTCAGCCATCTGGCGGACGGTAGACGAGGTTACAGCAAGGTTCTGCAATACCTTCCCATTACGGGAGAGGTTGCCCTCGGGAGCAAAGGTTGTGCCCTCGACGTCTATCTCCTCCAGGTCATCACCGGACGCATTGAGATAAACAAGTTTTTCAACGCTCATCTGGTTAGTAGTCAAGGTTCCAGTTTTGTCGGAGCAGATCACACTGCAGCTACCCAAAGTTTCGACGGACGGCAGAGACCGAACGACGGCGTTCTTAGCCGCCATCTTGCGCGTACCCAGAGCGAGACAGGTGGTGATGACCACTGCCAACCCTTCCGGGATGGCGGCCACGCCCAGAGAAACAGCAATCTTGAGATAGTAAATGGCACCCTTGGCCCAGCCTCCATGAGCCGGGTCATTGAAGTGCTCAACGTTGATCACCCAGACGAGAACACAGATGACAGTGATCACCTTGGCCAGCATGTCGCCAAAATCGTTGAGTTTCTGCTTAAGTGGCGTCGGCTCTGAGATCTGGGACGTGATACTTTCGTGGATGCCACCAATAGCAGTCGATGCACCAGTCAACACAACAATGGCAGTAGCATGGCCGTTGACAACCGATGTGCCCGAGAATAGGATATTTGTCTGGTCTTGCTTGACGGCCTGTTCATCCTTGATGGTGCGAGTATCCTTGGAGACACTCTCACTTTCACCCGTCAGGACCGCTTGGTCAACGCGGAAACTGTTGCTTTGAATAGCTAGCAGCCTACAGTCGGCCGGAACGCGGTCACCAACTCCGATGTGGATGATATCTCCAGGAACGAGATCTTCCGCCTTAATGCGCTGGGTCTTGCCATCACGAACCACTGTCGCTTCGTTTGCAGAGTATTCTTGAAGAGCAGCAATTGCCTTTTCCGCGCTGCTCTCCTGCGTGACACCGACGACAGCATTGAGGATCAGAATAGTCAAAATCTAAGTTTGGCAGATTTACAATTAGCTCAATCCTTCAAAGCACCACCTTTGTACAACCTGGGTTTCGCAGAACGTACCACAACAGGGTCAACAAACGCTGTCCAGTCGTCACCTTCCTCAAAAAGAGCCAGCACAAAGGACACAGCAGCGGAACCTAAGAGGATGAGGACCAGTTGGTCCTTGAATTGTTCTAGCACAAGTTCCCAGAGAGGAGTCGGTGGTTCTTCCGCGAGAGCTTCATCGTTCATCAACACCGGTCAGCTTGGATCACTCTGTGCGCTGAGTGTGGAGGTGGGGAGTACTGACCATTTGGTCCATACTTCTGCCTAGATTTCAAGACCTGATCCTGAGACAGACCACCGCGCTCTGAGACTCCAAAGTGCTCCAGCACTTCTGCTGGAGAATGTAGAAAAGGCCGCTCCATTGTCAATCACACCTCGAAAAACTGAACAAGCCAAAAGAGAGGGAGACGAAAAGGAGAGATAGGAAGAAAGAATGGGAAGAAATGTAAAGAGAGAACGTGGCTACCGAGTCATGAATGCCAAGTGGCCGGATGGACAAAGGTTACCAGTAGTAGTAGACCAGGTTAGGTAAGTAGTACTCGGATAGCAGGACTCTAGATAGCAATCGGGAAGGGTCTAGAAGGAAGGGGAAAATCGATCAATAAATATCCGAAAGAAGGACCCAACAACAGAGAACGATACAAGAGAGGAGATCTCCCAACAAGTCTATCGAATGAAAATGTCTATTCTAGCATTCTGGGGCGAAAAGAAGGAAATTCGAAGTCCAGTCTATCCTGTAGAGGCGTAGTTGGTCTTTGCCCCAGACGCTGAGGGCAGAATGATGCAGTTTGGCTGACAAAACGTGTTATCTTTTTTTTGGCGGTGACTGTTTTGCTCACGATCACTGGCCACTGCTGGTTTTATCCGCAGACCCCGGTAATCCACGCTCAAGGAAAAGCCGGAGGGCCACAGGGCTGAACTGTATCAAACCATTTTGATAGATTGAGGTGCCATGTATTTTGTTATTTTATGTCGAAGATCTCTCAAATTCTGCTGATCTAACGTGGTGATTTCCTTTGATGATTTCCACCAAATGGGGGTTGCACTTCAGATCTGATAAGGCAGAGCTCAGTCTTATCTACATATAATCAAGTCTATGGCTTAAGTATACAAAGAAAGGGGAGGAGCACAGTTGGGAAATTCTGCTCCTGTTAGATATTTGCCTGTTATTCAATGTCAAATCTCTTCTGTAACTACTCGTAACGTCACCGACATCCATACTATCTACGTAGCATATTGACCAAGCTCCACTGAGAAATGATGTTGCCTTGAGGGGATCCATGCTAAGGAACGCCCCTGTCTATTGTCTTTTTCGGCGCACGAATGAATTTGATATCTAGCTGGACCTTGGATGAAATGGAGAAGCGTCGATCATGATTTGGATAGTAAGATGATGTCTTATTGACGATTCGCTCAAGGACTGCTATGCTCAATCACCGGAGACTTTCCACCGCTAGACACAGCAGCCAGATACTATCCTTCTTGAGATGACTGGCGGGGAACTTAGGTAGCATTAGTTTAGCTACTGGCAGCTCCCCAGAATAAGGGCTTTTCCCTCCATTTCTTTGCCTTCGCTGAAGTCTACTACGCTTGAATATTGATTCTTGCGCGTACTGTATATCACATGGATTGCCGATTGAGGGCTGGGCCCCTCGATTTGGAGATAACTGCCAGTAGAAAGCATCTTATTTGGTAGTACGTATATGAGCTCCAATCTAAGGTCATTTTCATTCAGCAAAAGCTAGAGTCGCTGACACCATCGGCGTATGAAACTGTTGGGATAGCCATTGTATGAGGTATGGTCATAATTGCCTATTCCATTCACGTACTCATACAAAGTGCTGACAAGCACCCCTTCAGAGTGTGACAGAACTAGGACAGCAATCCTGGCAGAAACTGGACAGTTAGGTACTGCATAGTCCAGACCACTGGGCTCAAATCAAGGGCCAAGGGTGAATGTCTTCACTGCATGACATGAACCTGAATGCCTGAGGCTGACACAAAGCAACAAACCAGGCAAACACACCGCCTCACTCTCGCTAAAGCTGGCTGGCCCGTCAGCTCACCGATCCATCCCCAATCACTTTAACTACTTCCAGTTGCTGGGAAGATCACATCTTCAGGTCGTGATTACTTACCTACTCTACTTGCTTCTTCCATCTCCTAACCCATTTTCCCTAAGCAATCTTCCTTATCTACCTTGTCTCCTTTCTCTCTCTTCCACATTTACCAACATCTCCTTTTCTACTTCCCTCTCTCTTCTCCCATAACCTTTCATGATGACTTCTGAGGTATGTTATGTTATGTTGTTCCAGCCTAACCCCTCCTCTCTGTTGTTGTCCACCCTGTCACCGCTGTCATGGTGTCCCATGGCGTGTATACACACACACACCTCCCCCACCACTCCATCTGATTTCCGTTCTTTTTTTATATTTCGCCTTTTTTGATTAAGGTTTGCTGACAGTATATTTTTGATGTACAGCGTGAGAAGTAAGGATCTCCGGCGACTATCAATCTCCAAACAGATGGCAGGATCGCTGACGTCTTTCCCCTCCCTACAGCAAGACTTTCCTCGCAAGGCTCTGCGAGCAGGCCGAGCGCTACGATGGTTAGTTGTCTTTTCCCATCATATTCACTGGCATGAAATAACATCATTCTCACTTCTTACAGAGATGGTTACCTACATGAAGGTTCGTTTGTTGTCTGACTTGTAAGGAATGAGTGGACTAACTCAGCTAACCGCCGCACAGGAAGTCGCCAAGGTATGTACCAATGAGGCTCTAATGCTGCACTGTTTTTAAATGACTAACTCCTTGGATCAGATTGGAGGCGAACTTTCCGTCGATGAGCGTAACCTCCTCTCCGTCGCCTACAAGAACGTGGTCGGTACCCGCCGTGCCTCCTGGCGTATCATCTCCTCCATCGAGCAGAAGGAGGAATCCAAGGGCTCCGAGCAGCACGTTACCATTATCCGTGACTACCGCCAGAAGATTGAGACCGAGCTGGAGAAGGTCTGCCAGGATGTCCTTGACGTTCTGGACGAGTCCCTCATCCCCAAGGCCGAAACTGGCGAGTCCAAGGTCTTCTACTACAAGATGTAAGCAAGCGATTCGTGACTCTTGCATCTAAAGTACGATCCCTAATCACCGTTTTGTCTGTAGGAAGGGCGACTACCACCGTTACCTCGCTGAGTTTGCTTCTGGCAACAAGCGCAAGGTTGCTGCTACCGCCGCCCATGAGGCTTACAAGGTATGTCGACCAGATGAGACCCGCCTGCGGAGTTGATGCAATATATATGCTTGAGCGCTCGCTTACCTGCTGACCTCCTTTAGAACGCCACCGATGTTGCCCAGACTGACCTGACCCCTACCCACCCCATCCGTCTTGGTCTCGCTCTGAACTTCTCTGTTTTCTACTACGAGATTCTGAACTCACCCGACCGTGCCTGCCACCTTGCCAAGCAGGCTTTCGACGATGCCATTGCTGAGCTCGACTCTCTTTCCGAGGAGAGCTACCGTGACAGCACCCTGATCATGCAGCTGCTGCGTGATAACCTCACTCTGTGGACCTCTTCTGACGGCAACGAGGCTGAGGGTGCCCCTGCTAAGGAGGACAAGACCGAGGAGGAACCCACCCCCGCTCCCGAAGAGAAGGCTGAGGAGGCCAAGCCTGCTCCTGCCGAGTCTTAAACGGGCGGCTCTCGGGGGTTTCCTTTGTTGTATCAAAAGCCGTGTTGTGTCACTCGGCGTGTCTATTGGTGCCTGCAAGTCCTTTTCTTAGCCGCGTGACTGGTTTGGGCCGGCAGATATCTTCCACTTGTTCGGGATCGTATGGGTCGGGCCGGCGGAGTTTGATGATATCTGGAGAGGGAGGAAAAGGGGCCGAGTGGAATTTATCTCTCTTTTATTTGTCTCTATTCCCAACCCCAGCAAGATACAATTGTCTTTTATTTCCCATTTTTACCCCTTTTACTAGTTTCCACTTCCCTTTCTCCCCTATCCTGAGATTTTATTCCCCAATTAGTACCTGGCAATGGAAGTAGTTCGCTCCTTCACATCAGATATTGAGAAAGGGAAGACCGGCAGGTTGAGACAACAAAGAAAATATAGGGGCTGTCGGATACTTCATCAATCACCATACATGATCTCCCTAGGTCCCTTCCAGTGACTGCTGGCCTATTTCCCTAGCGAAGGTGTGCAAGCGCGCCTCTCCAAGAGGTTCCCGCAATCATTCTGCAAGGGGCCGGAGAAGCCAATTTCTGAACCTCTCCTTGTCCAGGCCAGGAGTGCCTCCTTTACTCTGCCCCTTTTACATCCGTCTGCCGGTGGGCATCATGTGATGACTCACGCAAGGACTACAGAGTACCTAAACTGACAATTTTATTATCGAGCTAGATGGCCTCGATATCATAAAGCTGCTCCAATCACTTTACAAGAGAAGACTCTGAGTAGTTTTCACAGAAATAAGCGCAAGGCATGTAATGTAGTCTATGGTTGAATCAAACAGAGTATATTACCCGGACAGGAGGCGCAGGATACAAGGTATATAGATAAGCATATACAATCTCAAGAATGCAAGAATGAGAAGGGAGGTAAGAAATCACTGCTTCAATTAACAGTATGGACAAAAGAGAAGCGTCATTTGGAGGATAAAAGGGAACCAGGAAGAAGGGTGTCGTTCCTATCCAAACAGGTGTAACCCTACGTTTACTAATCCTCAAATCACATGAAGTCACCATCGTCCAGTCCATCATCGTCATAAGGTGTGGCATCAATCTTGTTGTCTCTGCTAGCAACCAGAGAAACCTTGGTCTTGGCCGCCTTGGTCTTCTTGTTGCCTTTGTCGGCGGCACGCTCCTCCCTCATCTTCTCGTTGCTGATGGTGGTAAGGGCACTGGCAATCTTCTTGACATCACCGCTGTTGAGCTCCTTGACAAGCTGCTTGGTGAACTCCTGCGCCCACAAAGCGTAGTGAGGCTTCTTTGAGTGCGCCGTCAGCAGCGGGATCAGTGCGGTGGTCAGCCGGGTGAACTGGTCCTTCGTCGTGGGCTTGAACAGCGGCATGGCGGAGAGGTCGACGGCCTGCGTGGGATCCGCCGAGTCGCTGATGACAATCGCCTTGGGCGCCCCCCGGTTGCGGTTCAGGTCGATGTCGTCGAACAGGTCCTGCGCGTGCTTGAGGTCACCCTCCTTCTCCGTGAGGCGCAGGCGGGCCCGCCTCTCTGCCTCGTCCTCGTCGCTGTCCTCATCGCTCTGGTTCTCCTCGGCCTGTTTCTTTCGCTCCTGCTTATGCTCCTCTATCCGCTGTGCCTTGCTCTTCCTCTTCGCGGCCGCCTCGGCTTCGGCCTTTGCTGCCGCCGCAGCAGCCTTTGCGGCCTTTTCCCGCTCCACTTCCGAGTCTTCGGCGGCGTCCCATGAGTCGAGGACCTTTGAAACCACAGAGCGTTAGTATATCTTGAACCAGCAAGCAAGGCGTATAGACCACGGGGGTAACCTACATCTCCTTCCTCCTCATCGTCGAACTTGCGTCTGGCCACTACAGGAGGAGGAGGGGGGAGCTGCTATCTTCCTCATCGTCTAATAGATTGATATCAGCATCTTTCTCAAGCTATCAAGCCGAACACAGCCCTATCTGTGACAATCCGGGATCGTCATTTGCCGGCTGGCATATTTCAAGATATCACTTACCCCACTTTGAAGGCGCCATGGCGGGCAAAATCGTCAAAAAAAATTATTGACTGATAGGACACGTTCCGAGACTTGCTGAGCAGGTACCCAGGAGGTGATTCAGCAGGATCTACCGTGTTTGCACGAGGTAGACTGTCGTGGCGAAGACCGACGATGGTTTTTCTGAACGGACACAGACAGAATCTCGCTGCTGCCGCAACAACTTCATAATGGAATCTTGTAGTGGGGCATGTAAATGGTCACGTGATGTTCGACCATTGATGCCCGATATATCCATTGTTCTGAGTGCCCTGGTACCTTGGTAATGTTCATGGCCTCGAAGATTTCTAGAACGTTACAAGGTCTGCGCTACGTTCTAAGGTAACGTGGATGAATGCTTTACTGCGGACGTATTAAGTTGGATGCATTTTTCATTAAGCCACTATATAGTGTATTTGGCTGATCATATCATCATCATAACTCTTTATCGAACAGCATCGGGACCGGGCTGGCATCTCTTGGTCAGCCCGCCAATACTGTCATTTTTCGAAGCCCGCAAGGGGTCTGAGTCCAATCGTCATTTTTGAAGCGTGTCCGATTGGGTTGAGAACCATTTCTGTGTAGATTATAGGGTCCGCGGCTGCATTTACAGGTTGACGGCAGTGCGGAACTTGGAACCAGCGTAGACGGCGTTCTCACCGAGCTCCTCCTCGATACGGAGGATCTGGTTCAGCTTAGCCAGACGCTCGGAACGGGCAGGAGCACCGGTCTTGATCTGGCCGGAGCGCAGACCGACGGCAATGTCGGCAATGGTGACGTCCTCGGTCTCACCGGAGCGGTGGGAGACCATGACACCCCAGTTGTCGGCGTAGGAGTCCTTGGCGGCCTGGATGGACTCGGTGAGGGTACCGATCTGGTTGACCTTGAGCAGGAGGGCGTTGCAGGACTTGAGCTCGATGGCCTTCTTGATACGCTCAGGGTTGGTAACAGTCAGGTCATCACCGACAATCTGGAAGTCGGAAGTCTTGTAGAAGTAGCTCCAGGCCTCCCAGTCATCCTCAGCGAAGGGGTCCTCAATGCTGACAATGGGGTACTTGGCAGCAAGGGACTTGTACAGGTCGGCAAGCTGCTCGTAGGTGAGCCACTTGGAGGAGTCGCTCTCGGGGTTCTTGAAGTCAAGATCGTACTTCTTGACGTCGGCCTTGTAGAACTCGCTGGAGGCAACGTCCATAGCGATCTTGATCTTGCCGGTGTAGCCGGCCTGCTCGATAGCCTCGGTGATCAGGTCGAGAGCCTCCTCAGCGGTCTGAATATCGGGAGCAACACCACCCTCGTCACCAACGTTGCCAGCGGACTGGCCGTACTTCTTCTTGGCCAGAGCCTTGAGCTTCTGGTAGACCTCGGCACCCTGGCGGAGGGCCTCGGAGAAAGAGGGAGCGGAGCTATTGGTAATAGTCAGAAATCGATCAAAGGAAGCCAATCCACGTCGGGCAGACTTACTCAGGGACGATCATGAACTCCTGGAAAGCGAGGCGACCACCGGCGTGAGAACCGCCGTTCAGGACGTTCTGGAAGGGGACGGGAAGGACATAGGGCTTCTTGGTACCGGCGAGGTCGGAGATGTGAGCGTAGAGAGGGACACCCTTCTCAGCAGCACCAGCCTTGGCAACAGCCAAGCTGACACCGAGGATGGCATTAGCACCGAGGTTGGACTTGTTGGCAGTTCCGTCAAGCTTGTTAAGGAACTCATCGACCTTGGACTGGTCCTTCACATCGATGTTCTCCTTGATGAGAGCAGGGCCAATGGTCTCGTTGACATTCTTGACAGCCTTGAGGACACCTGTTGATCACATTGGCATCAGCGAGATATTCTTTGAGCACGAATATCATTATCAAGTAGATCCAAACGTACCCTTGCCGCCCCAGTGGGTCTTGTCACCGTCACGGAGCTCGTGAGCCTCGTGCTGGCCTGTCTCTTCGTCAGCACTCGAGGGTTTTAACGATGCTTAGTTTCGAGAGAACGAACCGGTGGAAGCTCCAGAAGGAACAATAGCACGGTGCAGACCAGTCTCGGTGACAACGTCCACCTCAACGGTGGGGTTACCACGAGAGTCGTACACGGAACGAGCGTGGATCTTGGAGATAGGCATTCTGACGAGCTGATGAAAAGGTCAGTTGGATGGAAATTGAGAGGAAAAAAAGACCGCAGGAAGTGAGAGGACTGGACAGCTGATATAGAGGAAAAAAGCCAGTTACGGGGTGTTGGGTGTGTGACTAGCAGCGGGGGTTGCTCTTCACCGATGACCCAAAATGAGTGAGTGGATGGGAGAATCGGTATGAGAGGCAAGTGATGCTGATCCAATCAATTGCAGACCACACTCACGGTGACTCAAAAGGACAAACTAACAGGTGGCAGAAGACACAAGGGATAGATTGCAGTATGAATAAACCCGTGTGGAAAGCCCAATTCCTCTTAGTGATGAAGAACAGCGATGGAGGGGTCAACAGTACAGGTGTGGAATGGCGGGGTAGATAGATGTTAATGATCTCAGAGTGGGAGGGCCAGGCCGGAACTTCACTTACATTTCAGACGGTAATGAGGATCTGAGGATAACTGGGGTTCAAGTGCAGCAAATGAAAAGGAAGATCAAAAGACAATCGATCTTCTTTAAGTTGGAATCGTCGTCTTCTTGTAGGTTGCCAATGATTGTCCCCCGGGTAAAGCTCATGATGGAAGCTCCGAATCTTCCCAACATCACAGTGGGGCAGCGAACCGATCTGCTTCTCTCGCTGGCTGAAGCTTCTCCTTTGCACCGTTTCAATTGCAACTGCAGCGAGATCTTCCGCTTTCCCTCGGGGCAAGGCGGGTGAGGATAGAGACGGCGATGAATAGGTTAGACCTGCGAATGAGAGCAGCAGAGCCATAGTGATCTACTACTGGATATGGAGAACTGTATCTTCTCATTTGACAAATTCGAATAACGGCTATGTGCTACTGCTGAAGAAATAGACCGGAGATACTCTACTTTCTAGACAGCTCTCTATATAAACACTGAATCTATACACCTCAAATTCAATCATGAAAGCAAAGTTTGTTAGCTAGTCAATGCCTATATTACACCCGTTGGTCTATTGCAGCTCAGTGATCATGAACAAACAGACAACGTAGCATGCTCCTGGTCAGAAGCGTAAAGCGTACCAAGACTGCAGAAACTACTTACAAGGTACCTACCTACCTGTCCAGTCCAGGCATCTTTCTACGTGTCTGGAAACTTCCATCCGTTGTGATTGCGTAATGGCCAGAAGTCATGACATAGATACCTTGATACCTGTATGCCTTGTAGCCTTGTGGCCTTGTGGCCTTGTGGCCTTGTGGCCTTGTGGCCTTGTTCTCTTGGCAATATCACGTAATCGCGATGTGGTAGATCTGGGTCATGTGATCCATGAGTGGTTGCTCCGTGAGCTCTCAACAGCTCTACCAAGTTGGAGTAGCGAGGTCAGGTACCCCATAATCATCAGCCTTCTTTTGTACACATTGTATTGCAACCCTCCCAAACCAACACTTTTTTAACTTCTAGGTCATCCTTTGATTTTACCCAACAACCGTGTGAAGTCCTACCCCATCGGCTTCGCCCTTACAACGATGAACGGCGGAAGCGACCCTGAGAGAGAGCAGGCGCTCGAAGATTACAAGAAGAGCTTACTAGAGCTTCGAGAATGGGAAGCTAAGCTCAAGAATCTGCGTATGGGCATCAAGGACCTGCAGAGAGAGTTTGATATCTCCGAAGAGAACATCAAGGCCTTGCAGAGTGTCGGTCAGATCATTGGCGAAGTGTTGAAACAACTGGATGAGGAGCGATGTATGCCATTTTCATAACTCCTATCTACCGAAATGTGCAGGGACTTGATCATCTATAACGATGAGAAGTTCAATACGATGATACAATAGCTAACTTTGGATGACTGAGATAGTCATCGTTAAGGCGTCATCCGGTCCCCGATATGTTGTCGGCTGTCGCTCCAAGGTCGATAAATCGAAACTGAAACAGGGCACTCGCGTTGCCCTAGACATGACAACACTCACGATTATGCGGATGCTCCCGCGTGAAGTTGACCCGCTGGTATACAACATGTCCTTGGAGGACCCTGGTCAAATCAACTTCGCGGGTATCGGTGGTCTGAACGATCAAATCAGAGAGCTTCGAGAAGTGATCGAGTTGCCATTGAAGAACCCCGAACTATTTCAGAGAGTTGGTATCAAGCCGCCCAAGGGTGTATTACTTTATGGTCCTCCCGGTACCGGAAAGACATTGCTGGCACGAGCCGTGGCAAGTTCGATGGAAACCAATTTCTTGAAGGGTAGGCACATTTCAATCCCCTCTTGTCGCAGCTGCTGACCCTGGTATAGTTGTCTCGTCCGCGATCGTCGACAAGTACATTGGTGAATCTGCGCGGTTAATAAGAGAGATGTTCGGTTATGCAAAGGAACACGAGCCCTGTATCATCTTTATGGACGAAATTGATGCTATCGGTGGCAGGCGTTTCTCTGAGGGTACTTCGGCCGACAGAGAAATTCAGAGAACATTGATGGAGCTTCTGAATCAGCTGGATGGCTTCGACTACCTTGGAAAGACGAAGATCATCATGGCGACCAACCGACCAGATACCCTTGACCCTGCTCTGCTCCGTGCCGGTCGTCTGGACCGGAAGATCGAGATCCCCCTTCCCAACGAGGTTGGCCGTCTGGAGATCCTGAAGATTCACTCCAGCACCGTCCAGCTGGAGGGCGAGATTGATTTCGAAAGCGTCGTGAAGATGAGCGATGGTCTTAACGGTGCCGATCTGCGTAACGTGGTTACGGAAGCGTATGTCACATCTACTGGCTCGTTGATTTGGCATGAGTAAATTGCTGACATTGCACAGTGGACTTTTCGCCATCAAGGATTATCGGGACGCAATCAGCCAGGACGACTTCAACAAAGCGGTTCGCAAGGTCGCGGAGGCAAAGAAGCTGGAAGGCAAGCTTGAATACCAGAAACTGTAGTTTTACAGCCCGATTACTTTTATGCCAATGACCTCATTCATTCATGAATGGCCACCTCGGAATTAGACAGAATCTACCACAATATCATGAGCATTAATTCCTGCCTTCATAATGTTTGTATGGTATATCTATCATGTAGTTTCATAGACGGGCCTCCCAGTTTCCCCGCATGGATAACCCGCAGCTGGACCTTGATCTTTGCGCCCGCGGAGCCTATGTCGTAGGATGAACCGTCTCACTACGATCTCATGCTGCCCAGGTGCAGCGAGGCGAGCTGAAACCTTTCCATTATCTAGACTAGAGAGTTGCCCGGAATTCAGAAGCATGCAGCATGCAGCAGCGAGAGTTGGTGCCAAGCCGCTTGCTTCCCTGAAGCAACTCCGCCCGTTAGACAGATAGATCTACAGATCGGCCAAGTCGCAACAAGAAGTGGCCACACCTACCATTTCCGCTGTTCGACTACCCTACTGAGAGACACTCCTCAAGAGGCTAGGTAGAAGGGACGCTGGACAACCTGGTAAGTACTTCAGCTTCTCTTATAAGTAGCATTGATTATTCCGCGGGCAATCGGGTTGGGACGAGCATATTGATATGTTTGTTTGGCTGCGGGACGGAGAAAGTTGGCGAGCTCAGACTGATGTCGAATCCCAAGATTGCTAATGCTTTGTCTCTCTCCAGATTGATCGCGTGTATTTACGGGTCGGATATCCTGACAATAAACGAATTGCGCATCTATGCGAACCCATTGATTCCTCTTCATACTAGGTCTCTCAGCAGCTGGGTCAACCCTGAGAGATCGGAGACAAACACAGCGCAACAATAGCCCGTAGTCGTCATGTCGAGCTCTCCAGGCCAGCGACTCCATAGCGAAAGCCACTGGCGAGCGAACCGCAATCCCACTGCAAGCCCTCTGGGCGGATATGGGCTATCGCAGCAGTCGACCGGGGTAGGGAACAAGCTCGGCAACTTCTTCGACGGCGGTCGCTCGCTCCCGATGTACAAGGATAAGCCGTACTTTGCGCCGCGGCGTACAGCGGGGAGGAGTAGGCGGAGGAAGATTCTGTACGGCGGGTTGTGTGTTTTCGTGTTGGTCTGCCTGTGGTATTTCATGGCGGGGTCGTCTAAGCGGCATAGGCATGGGTTAGACACGCCTGACACGCCCAAGGGCGAGGAAATGTGGAAGTGGCTACAGAGTCTTGGGGATCCCGCGACCGAGATTGAAGACGGTCACCAGAATATCGATTGGAATGCGCGAAGGGAAAAGGTTAGGGATGCTTTCATTATTAGCTGGGATGGATATGAGCAGCACGGATGGGGTATGTCCGCTTGCAATTGGTTTTATGAGGGCCGCACTGACTGGTTTACGGCTAGGATATGACGAGTACAAACCGATCGCGAAAGAAGGAAAACAGATGGTCCCAGGAGGGCTGGGCTGGATCATCGTTGACGCCCTCGATACGCTCATGATCATGAATCTGACCTCGCGGGTTCAGCACGCGCGCAACTGGATCCACAACTCGCTACAGTACAACCAAGACCACGACGTCAACACATTCGAGACGACCATCCGTATGTTGGGTGGCCTACTGTCGGCGCATTACCTGTCCACCGCTCATCCCGGACTCGCCCCAATCGCGGACGACGATGCGGGCTCACCAGGAGAGGATCTGTATATTGAGAAGGCGACCGACTTGGCGGATAGACTGCTGGGCGCTTTTGGGTCCAAGTCTGGAGTGCCGTATGCCAGCATCAATCTGAATACGTCGACTGGTATTCCATCGCATGCAGACAATGGGGCTTCATCTACCGCGGAGGCGACCACAGTTCAGCTCGAGTTCAAGTACTTGGCCAAGCTGACCGGAGAGGCGGAGTACTGGCGGGTGGTGGAGAAGGTGATGCAAGTTGTTGATGACCAGAAGATGGAAGACGGCCTGCTCCCGATCTATATCTATCCAGACTCTGGAAATTTCCGGGGAGACAACATCCGCCTGGGAAGTCGGGGTGATTCTTACTACGGTGAGTAAGCCAAGTATCTCCTTGGACGTCCTACTAACAGTGGCTTTAGAGTACCTCATCAAGCAGTACTTGCAAACATCTAAACAGGAGCCCATCTATAAAGAGCTCTGGGATGAATCGCTGATGGGCGTCCGCAAGCATCTGATTGCGTACACCAAGAATGCTCAGCTGATGATCTTGGGGGAGAGGCCGTCTGGGCTCCATGGGAAACTGTCGCCGAAGATGGACCACCTGGTCTGCTTCATGCCGGGAACCATTGCTCTTGGAGCCACCGGCGGCGTGCCGTTGAGCAAAGCCAGAAAGTCTCCTGACTGGACTCAACGGCAGGAAGAAGAGATTCTGCTTGCGCGGGAACTGATGAAGACATGCTGGGCGACCTACCTCGCGACTGAGACGGGTCTGGCTCCCGAAATCACGTACTTTACCTTGGACGACCCTCCGAAGATGTTCCACGACATGTACCCGGACTCGACGGCGAGCGCGGGCAACCGCGAGTCCCAGGGGGTTGATTTGCCGATGAAGTCACAGCCTCTTTACCCGCTGGACGACAAGACCCTCAAGTGGCGGGAAGACATCCAGATCCAAAGCCAGGACCGCCACAATCTCCAACGGCCGGAGACGGTCGAGTCACTGTTCTATATGTACCGCGTGACCGGAGACCAGATGTATCGCCAGTGGGGATGGGAGATGTTCAAGTCCTTTATCCGCCACACGGCGGTGGTCGAACATGACCACTCGCACGAGACCGATGTTCCTGCCGATGCCGATGCTGCAGCTGCAGGAGCGCAAGCCGAGAAAGTGGCGCGTCCTTCGCGGATTACAGGATTCACATCGCTGAGCAACGCCAACACCGTGCCCCCCGTAACCCGGGACAACATGGAGAGTTTCTGGATGGCAGAGACGCTCAAGTATTTCTACTTGCTGTTTTCCGACCGGGACTTTATCTCCCTGGAGGACCATGTGTTCAACACGGAAGCGCATCCGCTGCCGCGGTTCCAGCCTACGGGTGATCTGAAGACGGGGTGGACGCGGAAGCCTCGTTAGCTGTCCTGCGAGGAATCTTAGATGAGATGATGCTGTACATATATACATTCTTATGTGTTTTCGAAATAGCATAATGCAGTAACGAGGCTGTTTCTACCACTCTTTCTAGTCTACGAGGTCGACCGGTCCAGCGCCGCCTGAATCAGTTTCTTATACCCGCGCACGGCCTCCTCCAGCTGCGCAACGGTCAACGCTTCGTTATCGCCGTGCGCAACGTGGATAGTCCCCGGTCCATAGAGGTACCGCTTGACCTTGCCGTCCGGACGGGCATGGAGCTGCAGGTTCGGCACGTCCGTCCCGTAGTTGACGGTAGTGACGTTGAACCCGGCCACATCTGTATCCAAATCCTGCGGGCCATATCCCTCCAGACTGAAATTGACAACCACGCGGTCATCGCCGCCCGTCGCGTCCCGGACAGCCTTGAGGACAATCTCGCGCGCCTCGTCGTCCGTCCCCGCCGCCAGCCGCACGGCGACGCCAGCGCGTGCCTCGCTCGGCACCACGTTCACCGCGACGCCGCCCTCCATCTGCCCGATGTTGACCGTCGTGCGACCGTACTTGTCGCTGGCGGGCAGGCCGCCCTCGCTCGCGGGGATATCACCCAGCTGATCCACGCGCGCCAGCGCCGGCAGGATGGCGGAGATGGCGCTCTCGCCTAGCCAGGGATACCCGGAGTGAGCGGCGCGGCCGTGTGCGGCGACCTCGAAGCCCAGCATGCCCTTGTGGCCGGCGACGAGGGCCAGCTCGGTGGGTTCGCCGAAGATGACGGTGTGGAAGCGGCTTGGGGAAGGGTTGAGGTCTGCAGACTGCGAGAAGGCCTTCATGCCGTCGCCGCCGGTTTCCTCGCCGACGACGAAGAGGAGGCCCAGGGGGGCGGAGGGCTGGGCAGCGAGAGTGTCGAGCGCGGCGAAGATCTGGGCCGCGACGCTGCCTTTGGCGTCTACGGTACCGCGGCCGGCGATGAGGATGTTCCTGTCGTCGGTGTCGTTGGCATCGCGGTGCAGCGAGTATGGGATAAAGGGGGGCACGGTGTCAATGTGGCTGGTGAGGAGGATCTGGGGCCGTGGCTCGGGTGCAACTCATCCAGGGAATGGGATTGGGACTTGGGGAATGCGAAGATGTTGAAGCGTGCATCCGACTCCGTGGTGACGGGCTGCTTGATCACGGTGAAGTTGTGGGATTCCAGGAAATCAGCCACAAAGGCGCCCGCTGCGCCCTCGTTTCCGGAGATTGACTCGATTGAGACGAGGTCTCGATGGAACGAGAGTAGAGGCGAGGCATTTACCACGTTGTCCAGAGAGTTTTGGCTGAACTCTGTCCGAGTCTCTCCCACGATGCTGGGGATATCTGCTAGAGGCGCCTGCGGAGATGCGGGGTGCGGAGGAGCTGCCGCTGAGAGCGCGGCGCTGAGCAGGAGAGACGATAAGGGTTTCATCTCATGGATAGATGAGAACCAGTGGATTGGAATTGGGAATTGGGATAGAGTTTGAGGCGCCGGCGGAATTATTAGTGACAAAGTTGATGAACTGTCGTAAACCACGGTATATTGCGTGATAGGAGAGTGCCGACCGTGACATGGTGACATCATCACGTGATATCGGCTGTCAAAAGGTTATCCATCCGCCTCTACAGTACTACTACGACGAAATGGTCTGCTCCGTATCCAATGGGGCAATGAACTTATTTGATCCCTCGACTGATCGATGCGTCTATGAGGAGTCATATAGATCCCTTGGTCTTGGGTTGTACTCCGTAGATAGATCGAATTGACGCATACACTAGACACATGGAGTGTGGCTAATGGATAGCCATTGTACTCCGTACGAGCAGATATGATCATATGCCTAGGATCTGAATCAATGCATCAGTTTTCTGCCATTGATAGTAGGATAGTACCTCTTGAGACCGGAGTAATAATAGTGCGATCTCATCGTGTTCAGACTTCCACGGTAAAAAGTATCCAATCATAATTCTGCCGAGGAAAGGATCCTCAAGACGTTGCCAACGGATTATTCTTATTATTCACGGAATTGATGGAGAAAACCATGGAATCATAAGAGGTCACATTTACGTCAAAACTGGGTCCTTTCCAGCCATGAGGTCGTACCCAGTGGACAGCCATGTGGTCCTGACGGAGGCACCAAGGCTTCTCTTCATAGGCTGTAGATAGATACATGGTCCAGCGTACTCCGGAGTACACACTACACAGTAAGATGAGAAATAAGTTAACTGTCAACTGTACAGTACTTTTTTCCTGTACATATATCTTATTATCACTTCATACATGTACATAATACATATACATATACATAACTTAAAGTATGCGAACTCCTCAGTGGCTTGACTGCTCAGATAGACCTATTCATGCGGTAGATACTGAGACTGTCGCACGACAGCTGAAGCTCAACCTTTCTTCCTAGTACTAGTCTGTCTACCTCTCTAGTGATCAGCCACCCGGTAATATTGTGATGATAATTAGAAACCAGGCTATGACGACAAAGGCTCTCGTCTAGCAAGTCCATCAGAGTCTAGAAGACGCTGCTCTTTGCTTGTTCGGGGTCCAAGTGGGTTTATCCCGAAGTGGTGGACTCCGATCTCGCATCAGGATTAGCCGACAGTTGATTGGTAATGCCTTAAGCACTAAACTAGCAGGATTAAGGGCATTGGCAACGGTTTCTGTTTCTGTCTAGCAGTTGAATCAGGTCAGCTGCATTAACTGACATATTATTCTTTAGACTTGCAACATAAAACATTATGAGACATTGTGAGTCTAATAATACTAATAATAATAACTAGAAAGTTATCATCGCACTGAACAGAACAACTGTAGAACTATCCCTTCTAGAAGAACTCAGTGGACGGGAGAAGCCACAGCAAACCGTGGCAACTGGCGAGCAGGAGTCCTCAGGCAAACCAAGTTCCATGGCTTACGCACAGCGGAACGCACGGAGGTCTTTACTTTTTACAGTATCTGCTGTGTTCTGATTCGTAGTGCCACTCTTTTTCCCTTTTTTGGGGGGTCTGGGTCTGGTTCTAAAGAAAAACAAAAAGTGAAAAATGGACATGGAGAATTGGAGATAGTCAGTCGGACTAATTCAGTTGAGCCTTGGAGACTTGATCCTTGTAGAAGAATAATAATCCTACTCACATCTGCTAAGAACAGAATGAAAAATCCTGCTCCATTTTGCCTCTTTTTGCATAATTCTTCGTATTAGGAGTATCACAGACATTTTCATTCCATCGGATTGTAGATATCCTATCCTCGTCTTGTCCTCTGCTTCTCCTCCTCTTTCTTCTGTCAACCGTGACACTCGCACCAGTCACCGCGTTTTCTCCCGATCCTTGTGGTTGTGAATGATCGATTGTTTGGCAGCTAGCTTGCTTGTTGGATTGAGAAACTGCATCCTCTCCCTCATCCTCCACTGAGCTGTCGTCCTTTCGTCCTCCTCGGTCTGTCTTCTTCCCACTCAGCTGCTCCACGTCTGCGTCTGCTGTCGGCCCTACCGCCTGTTCGTCGCCTTCAGGCCCAAAATATCCTCTACCGCTGTTCTTCAATCAATCACGTCTCTACAGTCAGGAAACAAAAGCAATTATCTCGATCTCTGTCTATCGGCGAACTGGTTTTCCTCGCCCGTTCAACTCTTTTCCTCCTCCTGACTCATCCATCGCGACCTCTTCTTTCCCTCTGGTTGACCGCCACGCCACGTCTACTTCCTCCTTCCAACTCATCGGTCCCCTGTTTGAAATAAGGGCTCTTGCCTATTTTCTCTTTCTCTTCTGCTGCCTTCAATTCGTTAAATACAGACAGACAGTCTAGCAGCAATCCTCATCAGATCATGTCTCTGTAACTTGGTTCCATCCTCTGCTTCTGAACCGCGCATCCGCATGTGAAAGTTTCACCCACACGAACCCAGTTGCAGTCAAACCAATCAACCCACCACCACAGGGACAATTCCCTGTTCTTGACCACCATGTTGAAACTCTCACAATTACTGGACGCCAAACAGCGTAACAGCTCCGATACATATGCAGACATCTCGCCATTGTCCCGTCAACCCCCTCAGTCCCCCTTGACGGCCGATCTCTCAACCCCGGTCTCGCCTGTGGTCTCGCTTTTCTCCTCCAAAGGTCATACGCGTGTCTCCAGCTCCGTCTCCTCCCTGGTCTCGTCCCCTGGTCAGGGCAATTCCATGGAGAGCTCAAGGAATGCCCTGACAGGAGTGAAGGAGGAAACCTGTCAAGCCAGGGATCTTGAGGAGGAATATTTCCGTACGTCCTTCCCTCCCACCAAATCTTTGTTCTGCTTTGCATACTGATTACTTCTCTGCAGAACACTTTGACCAAGGCATGTCTGTTGTGGACGACGCGTACTTTCGACCTTCGGTCGATTACCCTGAATCTTACGATTTGAACGACACCGGAATGGACACCCCCCATTCCACCAAGAAAAGACGCGCCGACAGTCTCTCCGGTAAAGGCCTGTCGCGCATTAGTTCTCGCATTTCCACCATCTCCAACCGCCGGAGGTCGAATCGCGTGTCGGACGGTCCCGATGCCCTGGACGCCATCGGACCCAGTCTACGGTCCCGGACAAACTCCGCCTCGTCCATCCGCGCCAGCCCGACTATAAGTCGAGTCGACTCCACCACGATTCCGCCTTCACCTGCAAGGACTATCTTTGAGGAACGCCTGAGCGAGTCGGGGGCACAGCCCATCGACATTGCCAAAGCGAACAGCCAATCCCAGGATGACTCGGAAGCTCCACAAGCCACCACTCCTCTGCTTCCTCCCTTCATGGGGGATGAGCCTCTGAGTGTTACTGCCTCCCGAGTTCAATCGCCTCTGCAGTCACCATCGGTCGCCGACGTCTCCGAGGAGAGCCTGGACAACAGCATGACGTCTCCAGACCCTCGCCTGGCAGGACTTCCGTCACCTCCGCTGTCGACCAAGCCGTCGGTCGCGTCTTTCAATCGTCCACGCGCCAGCACGATGCGGACGGTGTCTGGTGAGGGTCCATCCTTCTCGTTGACCGATCCAAACGACGAGTGGGCGACCCAACTTGGCCATGCCAATTTCACTATACAGCCCGAGCCTTATGTGCCTGAAGTCTACGATCTGAGCTCATTCCGGCAATTGCGCGAACACTGGGACCAAGCACAGTGCAACTTTACCAAGCATCTGGTTCGGACCGGTGAACACTACGGTGTGACCTCCACCATCTACAAGCTGACGGAGGCCAAGTGGGACGCGATCAACAGTGAATGGAAGCGCACCTACGACGAGATGTTGTCCCAACTGGACGCGACCGACGGCTCGCTGATGGGCATCATCCAATCTCAAGGCAACCCCTGTGAGCCAGTCAAAATTCCTCGGCTACACGATGAAAAGTTCCCCGAACTGGGCGATGGCGAGATCGTCGGTCCCATGAAAATTGCTCCGGCGGCGAATATGCCGGCACGCTGCCGGAGCCGATCCTTGAAACGAAGCTTTTTCAAGTTCTTCCAGGATCTCATGTCGCGATCCTGATATGCATTCGCATTCATTTACAGCAATTAATGACGATAGAGTACTCCCGAGAGGTTTTCGATGTACAACAACTTGTAATAACCGAGCCCCTGGGGTTGATTTGTTTGAGCGTTTGACGACTAATGTCTCTTTTTCTAATGACTGAACGACCACCTCCATGTGCCTGCGACTACTGACTCGCGGAGCAATTGCATTCCTTCAACAAACTTCTTTTCATATGTTCAATATTCTATGACATGAGGACAGACGGACAAGTTTTTTTGGCGTCAGGATTGGGCTGTTCACGATGAGAAGCAAACAGTGCTGCAGATCGTGCAACCGTTCCGTTCCCTGTACCACGCACAGTCGGTGTCTTGATGTCGATGCGTCTGAGAAGGCGTGCATCCGTCTCTACCCAAAAAGAAAGAAAAAAAAAAAAAGAAGCATGAATGATACGGTCTGCCGTGTATATGTATATATGTACCCGATATACCCAGAATTTCGATAATGAATCATAGAGATTACTTTGACCTCTCTCTCCCTTTGTAAGGCCATAGTCGAGTTTAGTGGAATCAGTAAGGGTATCACAAAATCAGAGTACCTCTCCATCGATCCTCCGGCTCCACATCAGCCAGTCGTGCTTGCTCATCTGTGAAGGTGCTCGAGTCTGCTTACGGCAGGACCATACTGAGGGGCCCTTATCTGTCAGTCGTTACCTCACTCTGCAGTGTGCACCCATGCACATGAGGCAGGTTGGCAGCTGATGGAATATACCTCTGCTAGCTGGCATAGGCGGGAAAACCCATCACGATAGACAGCGTCATCTCCAAGGTAAAGCCACGCAAGTAGACAAGACACCACGACAGTGATGAGCTTCTCCGTAAGGTCTGAGAATCAAACCCAGTACTGCCCCCATATCCGTCTTGCCTC